AGATTGCCTCGGAAACAGCGTCAGCATGAATGTTCCAGTAAAGCCAATCGACAGCTGGTTAAGAGGAATCTGCCGTCATCTTCTGGTGGAACCGACCTTCCCAACACTTCCACTCCAAATGGAAGTAAGCTCAACAATTATAAAACAAGAGACTCCTCGAAACCCACCTTTTCTTCGCATAAACACATGTTTGCTTAAACAACAATCCCACTATAAAAATGCGATTTGTGTGAGGCTCGACTTGCCTTGAATGCTACTTTTGCCACGTGACCCTCTTCTATCCGTGGTTGTGTAATGGAGTTATAACGTGCCATAACAACTACAACCCAGTATCGAATTCCGTTTGAAGCGCCATTGAGGCAAGGTTGAAGTTACAGTCCACTCCAGCTGGAAGGTAATAGCATTTTGGAGGATAGGCCAAGTGAAATTAGTTGGCATCGTTAGGTCCACTCATCTGATCGTGTGAAAGCTCAAATTTCAGAGGTTACCTCACCTTAAGTGTCTTAGGCTGACTAAGATCATAGTCTCATTAGTTGAAGTAACAATTGCTTATTGCATTTCACATTCTGCCTAATTAATGCTGTTGATGCCGCAGAATTTCATTTTGCCTTACCTATCAAAAATTAGCACCAAGGTGCTGAATCATTTAAGTGTGGTTCATTCGTCTATCACCTTACATGACCTATGGCGAATAAATAGCTCTACTGATTATATCCAATTGAGTATTGTTTTCGTGACTACCAGTAAATCAGTAATATGAGATGTATTCACTCAATTTCGCTAAAGGTGATGAAGAAGGGTAGAAGAATTTTCCCATAATAATATGAGTTGAGCTAGCGTTTCCATTGCATTTCCCATAGCCTTGCTTTCCCAAAAGTTGTTCTCATCCCGGCTGGAGTGGACTGCAGTTTCGACCTCGCCTATGTCCTTTCAACACTCCTAGCGGGAGTCGAACCGTGACAGTGCAGAATGTTGGCTTGACACGTTAAGCACTCATTCACAGTGCCCCAAGTCTCCTTGGGTCACAGGGAAGATGTGAATTTCAAGGAGGTCTAGGCCTTTTCCCACTTCAGCTTGGTTAACGCGTCAAGCTCCTATTCTGCACTGTCACGGTTCGACTCCCGCTGAGGC